ACGTATGACGTCTGAAGGGAAACATGAGCCAACGCTGTGCCGTCGCAGGCAAAGAGCGTGCGTACGAAAACAACCCACGTTAAAAAGATAGCTTAATACTAAGAGACTCCAGCTACCACGGAATGACTTATAGATATGGAGTGCTCAACTAGACGGGGATGGTATTTAGCTCTGAATGACAGAGTATTTTTTTCATTCCTATGGTATGTCCAATTTTTCCTGCTACCTAGGAGAATTCTCCGGTGGCAGAGGAAAATCTGATATTTAGATAAACACACACACACACTTTTGCTGGTGCTCCGAAAACATGTTTTTGGCAGAGGAAACATTCTCAGCTAGTTCCTGAGATAGATGGCATGCATTTAGAAGGCTTGTCCCTCTTCTCTCCTGCCTTTGTGGTAGCTGAGGTTCCCAACTTTCCTATAAAGATGATGCTGAATGTTCATTGCTGAGTGTGAAAAGGTTCTGGTGGACAGCTGACTGTATCACAAAAGCCTGAGAAGAGAGTCCAAGTTCTGAATGAGCCCTAGAGACGGAAGTAACCTCTTGACCCTTCAGTCTATTCCTCATGGGGAGGAGTATTGATGGGTCCATTCCAGCGAAGCTGATGTGGTCACTGTTTTTCTACCTGTATTAAATTCGCCTCCAGTTTGAGTTTGTTTAAACCGGATCTGTACTGCTCCTGTTGGACTGGGATTAAGTGAAACCCTGGTTATTTTAATTTAGGGTTTAGTTCTGCCAATGTCGCTGAAACATCTGCTATAGATTGGCAATAACAAAGTCCCTAGTGGACTTCATGGAGTTTTTGGCTCCATCACCTGGTTGCCCTTGCTGGTAATCCAATGCCAGTAATGCTTGTTAGGTTAAAGGAAGTTCTGCTCAGAGTAGAATTTTTTTTTAAAGGGAAGGTAGGGATATGTGGTAGTTGATGCTGTGAATGTCATTCTAGTTATGGTGGGAAAGTGTTGTCAGATGACAAGGTTTTGCAGTATTTCCCAATGGCCATTGACTTTCGATGTATCTAATCGCCTTTGGAAATTTACTTTTCCATGTGGGTCTCCTTGTTGCTGAATTCTTTATCCCTGGCTTTCTTATGCTTCGGTCTGGTCTTTGTGATCTGCATTGCCCCAGGGAGGAACGCAACAATGCGGGTGGTCTTAGGCACAGGCGCTGACTTCAAAGTCGCTGGGCCCTGATCCAATTCATAAGAGCTCGAAATCCTTTCACGCTCTTAGCAAGGCTTTGCTCCTAAACCCTGATTATTGCATTTTTGTGTGTTTAACTGCTTCTGTTGTAATTTTTTAAAGGTACATGTGTTGTTTTCAGAGTTTTTGTAGCTGTGTTAGTCCCAGGATGTAAGAGAGACAAGGTGGGGGAGGTAATACCTTTTATGGGACCAACTTCTGTTGGTGAAAGAGAAGCTTTCAAACTACGGAGATCTTGTCACTTTCACCAGCAGAAGTTGGTCCCATAAAAGATACTCCCTCCCCCACCTTGTCTCTCAAAGGCTCATATGTTCTGTCGCGCATCTAATAGATTTGTATTATAATGGCCTGTGAACACGCTTCATGTGAGCTGTCTAAGGCAGTAGAATGAACTTCTCTGTATTCTAGAAGACTAATACACCAGACAACATTTTCATGTGATTGCACAGGAGAAGCTGCCCCCTAACCTGCTTCAGTATTTTACACTGCAAAAGACTCGCAACAGCGGGTCTCAAAGCCTGGGTCCGTTGACTCGGGCTTACGCTATGGGGCTAAAAATATCAGTGTAGGCGTTTGGGCTCGGGCTGGAGCCTGAGCTCTGAAACCAGGCAAGGGAGGGGCATCCCCAAAACCAGAAAACTGGGATTGCTTATTTACCTGGGTTTTAAATTGTAATGATGTTTCTGTGCTTCCCCGTATCCTTCTGCCCTCACAGCTAAGTCCTGTATTTGTCTGGCCTCCAAGACCAACGTATCTGAGCACCTCCTCAACAGTGAAAATAGAAGCAGCCATCTTTTTCTCTCCCTTCCTTCCCAGCCTGTAGAAGTAGTAGCTTGTTTTTTTGAAGCATTTTAAAGAAGGAAGACTGGTTTTGCGTTGAACTCTGAACACAGTGAGGTTGATAGCACGTTACTTTTTTCACTTAACCTTCCTTTGTGCCTGTTTGCTCTTCTCTGAAGTGCAGATGATCGTATTTAATTGCTTCACATGGGGGTTGCATACATGAATATGTTTAAGGTGCTTTGATGTCCGCTATGGAAGTGGCTGAAGATCTGAAAAGTGGTGAGGAGTTATGTGGTCACTTTTTCAATATTGCAAAGAAATACTCGGCTCTGTGTGTGTGCACACCACGTGTATTTGGGTGCACGTGCATGTCATTATATCCATTCTATTTGCATCCAGGACGGACGGGCAGGAATTAGGAAGAATGGGGTGTGGAACTATTCAGGGCTCTGACACTGTGTGTGTTGGGGGAGGGAAGGTAGTTATGAATCTGGATGGTGATTAATTGAGAGACTTTCAGATTCTCTCTCCTCCCAGTTGTGAGTGGAATGAGCCTGTGGCCACTGCCAATTTCTGTTCTTCATTACCTTCCTAATTTTACACTTTGGTAGAACACCTGGTCCACAGTACAGCTTCCATCCTCACTCTGCAGCTTCTCCACCCAGCAAACAGTTCCTCACATGCCATCTCTCGATCTGAATTCCCCATTATTTGTGTTCCTGTGTATGTGTAATTTGTGTTTCTCTTCCATGAATTTCACCAGCAAGTTTCTTTCACTCCTTTTGACTGCCACTTCAGAGCATGGTAATTATTGCATTTTTCTTACCCGGTGTCTAGGCTCTTTCCATAATTTAATCACATCAGCACTTTGGCTACCTGAGTTCTGCCCTCTGGGAGATTCACTTCTGCTCCCCGTCACGCTCAGAAAGGTAACACCAGACTTGCAGCCATCCAAACCATCTCAATGGCTTCGTCAAGGACATAGCTCCGAGCCATTAATTGTCTTTAAAGTGGAAAACCCCAAACGGTTTTGCTGAGCCACCCACCCTGTTGTGTGACCATGAAACGGGGATGTAGCTACTAAGCCCTTTATCAGCTGCAGGTGCAAACTATTTGGAAGTAGCAGCATTCGATCAGCTCTCTGTTCACATCTTGTGTTGTCTGCATATATTCCAGGGGGGATATTCTTAAACACCTCGTGGAGACTCTATTGGCATTCTGCACAAGTGTACTATCTATCTGGCTTTGGTATTGTAATGTGCCCATCACATTAGTGTTGGATCTCAGATTGTAGTAACTCCATTTTATTCAGTGGAATTACCATACAGTGGTATTATTCATCAGTGGGCACTTAAAAGATTTATAACTCTGTAGCCTTCCAGCTAGGACCAGCTGATTGCTTTGGGGTTCTCTGGCCTTATCCTATATCTTTGCCCAAAATTCAAACCAAAGTTTTAGAGGTCCCAAGACCTCTGTTTCAATTTCTGCATTTTCAGCTTGGAGTGGGGAGAGGGTGAAATGGAAACGCCCAAATCTATGAAAGGAGCAGTTATGTTTTTCCAGCTGACTGGAAAGGTGAAAGACCACCATCGTCATGAAAAGACTCTGCTCTTCTGAGACTTTGAGCTGCAGTTTTCAGACACTCAAAGTTCAGTTACGTTTCAGAGAAGTGTCCAGACTATTGGGAGCTTAATCAAAGTTCCACCATCTTGGATGTTGCATCAAGATGCTTGCCCAGTAGAAGTCAGCCATTTTGTCTCTGTCCGGGGTTGTGAAAAACCCCTCTTTTACTCCAGCGTCAAATTATATAAGCAAGTCCAATTTTATTTTTGTTTTTGCCGTCTCTCGCTTGGAGAGAAGCGATGGCAGACTGTCTGTTTAAAAAAATAAATAAATAAAGTGAACTGCAAAGAAACAAAGTTACATTGCTCTGAAAATAATAAGAGAGAATAATTTTTGTTTCGAAAGAAGAAAAAGAATTGCTGGGGGCCTGGGGGGGGGTTGGGGAGAGTTTTGTGAAGAAAATAGAAAAGGCAGGAAGTGAACTGAGAGGAACAGGCTAATTATTCAGGAGGTGCTGTAAGCATCACTTCTGTAGCTGGAACCAAAGGTACATAATGATGTCAAATTGCAGGCCTCCTGCACCTGTCTGAAGGTCTAACCACCCTTCTCTCCTATTAGACTGTGTGGCCACTGTAATTAGACAGCTTTGTGACTCCTGTAGGAAAGAAAATGCTCCTGCTAGAAGAGCTCCTAGCAGAGAGTTGAGAATTCGTGTGTTTCAGTAAGCTACCAATCAACCACACCGTGAATATGCTTCCTATCTCTGTGTTGCTGTATTGTGGACGCAACATGTTAGGATAGAGTAAGGTAAATGAAGTTAGCTTACCACAGATTTCTGTTCTACTACTTAAGGAAACAAGTCTCTCTGAGCCATTGGTAACTCACAAAGAAATGTGCTCAGCAATGTTTTTGCCCATGATTTGCAATGGGGCTTTGTTCCGTGTATGTGAGAGAGAGCGTGTGAGTTCTGATGATGATGATGAAAAATACGACACGGCTCTACGGAAACTGTCCAGCACTCTTGTAGCTGTTGTAATCTGTAACATTTTGGACTCCGGGTGCAGAATACTGGATGGGGCCTGAGGGTAAGCATGTACGGCATTTGTCTGGCTGTATTTTCAAGGAGGAGGGAATGTGCTGGTGGTAAAGCCTCTTAATTCTCCGCTGAGAGCCTGACTGATTGATTTAGCATTTCTGTGGTGCACAGCGCCACAGTATCTGAGCACCTCATCTTAAATGTAAAAAGGAAAATAAATGACATGGGTTTAACAGCCATTCGAAGAATTATGGGAGCTAAATTGGAAGATCAACCCACATCCCTGGTCTTGATTTCAGCACATTCATAGATTATGGACCAGAAGGGACTGTTGTGATTATCTAGTTTAGCAGAGGCTTGATCTATCTAGCTGCTTGACTGATCTGAGTTTTTAAACTTTCTCTCTCTTTCAGAAGGTCTAGCTGTTGGAGTTGGATTTGGGGCTGTTGGGAAGTCAGCATCTGCAACCTTTGAAAGCGCCAGGTAAGCGACATGGCTGTTTCTGATGCCGACGTTTAAAGCTTTATGCACACTCTTGCCTCTCAGAAATATTATTCTAGATCTTGGAATGATGTGTGAAGGTTTATGGTGTGATTGGAGATAGGAGTATGGGTTAGTTTCAATTGGTCTGGAAAGCAGAAGAAATTCATACTGCTGTTGGACTTTTCTGTTGGCTGCAGTTGAAAAGTTTTTGTCAGCGATGCCCACTTTCTGAAAGAGCTTTCCACTCCTGCTCCACTGGGCAGACAAATAGAGCTGAGGAATTGATAAAAGAGGACAGTGAACCAATAGTATTTGCCTGTTTGGGGGTATGTCTACACTACAATTTAATTCCAGCGACTGGCCTGTGTCAGTTGACTCTGGCTCCTGAGGCTCGGTGACCAGGCTGTAAAATAGCAGTGCAGGCATATGGGCTCAGATTACTCTGCAGATTCTTTCAGGGCAGATGTCATCCATTACGGAGGATAGGTCCATCAGTGGCTATTAGCCAGGATGGGCAGGGATGGTATCCCTAGCCTCTGTTTGCCAGAAGCTGGGAATGAGCAACTGGGGATGGATCACTTGATGATTCCCTGTTCTGTTCATTCCTCCTGGGGCACCTGGCACTGGCCACTGTCGGAAGACAGGATAGTGGGCTGGATGGACCTTTGGTCTGACCCAATCTGGCCGTTCTTATGTGCTGCACCATGCCTTCCTGAGCTGGTAGGAAGCAGAATCCCATGTTGGCTTGGAGACACCGCTATGTCATCGTGATTCTAGCCCTGACATAGGCCCAGACTTTCCAGTAGCCATAGTCAGGTCATTTTAAACACATGGCATATTTTTGGAGTGGTGTTTGAGCACAGAAAAACTGAATCAGGGAAGGCTTTTAAAGAGCATCTGCCTCTCCAGTGCGCACACCTGAAGATGAGGAGTTGCCGAAGTGATGCTCCAATGCCCACTAAACAAGCACCTGAGTGACTCTGATGTTTGCCGTGGAGATGTTCAGCCATTGAACCATGTCGTAGCGCAGCACTCCTCGCCCCCAGCAGCCGCTGCTTTCCTTGGGCGTGTTAATGATTAATGTCAGAGATGAACAGGAGAGCTGTGTGCATCTCGGTGGGGGAGAAGCATCGATCTTCCAGGCGGCGCCAGCTTTTCCCTCTGCCCTTCGTTTAATAATATCATTTAGCTGCCTCGAATTTCCTTCAAGCCCTCATCGGCGTGTCTCCAGTGCGGAGGAGTTTGATTTGACATGGCTGAAATTCTGACGGCTCTTCCCACCCTGGGTGCCTTTCCCCAGCGTTTAGTCAGAAATGAATGCATCAGCTGTCAGTGGGACCTGCGTCCTGCTCTCCTTTCCTGAGGCCCTGCCAGGCCGGGGTGGAGGAGCTAGCAACTTCAGATTAATTAACCAAATGGACTGAAGGGCGGTCGTAGCAAGCGGCTCGCTTGTGTGGGCGTCGCTCTGTTGCACTGGGGACCTGGATGGGGGAGTCCCTCTGTAGTCTTCTCTGCTTCAGAAATGTGCAAAACGTTAAGCAGCTTGCCTAGGAGGAGCCTCTCGGCTTGCTTCCTTCAGTCTAGCTGGAAATTGGCTCCCCTGAGGAGTGACAACAAATCTGTTTAAATGTGAGCATTCTCCCCTCCAGGCTGCTCGCTGCTAAGGCCTTGCTCACGCTAGTCATCCTGCAGATGACCACCATTGCTGCCAGCTCAGGGCAGGTCTGCGTGGCAAGTTAGAAAACCCTAGCATGCAATCGGCATTCATGCTCTTATTGGTGGAGCAGCACCTGTGGGAAACTTTTAAAGGGAAGAAGAAAGTCTAAAATGTGTAGATAAGGTGTAGACCAGTAGGCAGATGCATGAGCTGGGGAATAAAACTGGAGTGTAAATGCTGGCCTAGTCCTTCTCCTCAGGCCCAGCTATATTAACTTAAAGAAGATTCCAAAGCAGGGTCAGAGTAACACAAACTACTCGCAACAGCCAGTGGAGACATGTCCAGCTTTCAGCAAGCAAGGAATGGGAGAGGACGTATCTTTCCCTTTAAGGGTATGTCTACATTGCCAAAAAACAAAATAAAAAGAACATGGCCACAAGTCCCAGAGCCCAAGTCTCCCACCTCAGCCTCCTGGAGCTCATGCTGTGGTGCTACAAGTTGTCATGTAGACGTTCCCCTAGGGCTCGGAGACCCAACCCCCTCCACGGTTTTCAGAGCCCAAGCTGCAGTCTGAGAGGGAATGACTTTGCAGCTATTTTTAGTGCCGTAGCACGAGCCTGAGTCAATTGAGCTGGCTCTGAGACTCGCTTCTGCAGGTCTTTTCTTGCAGTGTAGACATACCCTTGGACCCAGGACCCCAGAGGGGTGGCGCCTCGGAGCCTGAGTCAAGCCAGGACCCAGGATTCAAGCCCTATTGCTTTGGAGCGTCAATGCAGCCCCACTGGACTTGTGTTCTGGGAGTTCACCAAAAGTATCCCATTGGCCAACTTGCTTTGTCCTCTGGCCAGTCAAGTTTCCCCCACACTGCGCCAGGAACAAAGAGCAAGACCAACCGTGTTTTGGGAGAGAGTCTGGGATAGGGGTGGCTGCATAACGCAGTGTAGATGCTGGAGCCCCAGGTTGGGACCCAGGGTTCAACAGTTCCTAACATGGGATTACAAATGAGTGTAGATGCTCACGCCTAGGTTAACAAACCCAGGGTCTGCTACCTCAAGTTCCACGGCGGTGTAGACATAGTGACCTCTCCCATCAGGTTCCCCTGCACACAGGGTTACCTGGATTGTCATTTTCTCAAGTTGAGCCAGGAGGATTCCTTTATATATGGTTCAGCAGGTAGTCTGATGATACTTAGTCCATTGACCCCTCTCCATCGTGTCCCCCATCTAGCACTACAACTCCCAGCAACCCCCGGTCTTAAAGGAGCGATGTCTCTGTAACAGATATGTTGGCTGCACCTATGCTGTTACAAAGGGCAAAGAGGTCATTGCTCTGCTATGTGATTTCTGCTTCCCTCCTGTCAATAAACAGTGAGAGCCCCAATAGCTGTCAGTTTGTTCCCCAGCTCCCCTGAAGACTGATCCTAAATTCTTCCTAAAAGCAAACGCTCGTGATGTGTGAAAATGGCCACTGGGGCACGTATAAAAAGCACATTTGCTTTGTTCACCTGCCGCTCCTGCTTCCTTCCTTGCTCCATTCTGACCAGCAGGCCTAAAGATTTGCTATGTGCTGCATCCAAGTTTGAACTCCGGTGAGACTAGCGACTTGACAGAGATTATGAGTGTGAGTGAGCGTAGCAGGTTGCAGAAGTGGCAGTAACTCTGCCGGATTTCAGGTTGCCAAAGTAAGCCCAAGAGCTTTAAAAAGAAAAACAGCCCTACAGTTTTAGCTGAGCCTTTAGTTGTGACGGCTGTTCCTTTCCATCTTTGCAGCCCGTTTCTCACAGAGCCACCGTGTAATTGAGTTGGAGAGAAGTATGTTTCTAGTTCAGGTTCTTTCCCCCCCAGGAGAATTAAAAGCACATGGTAATCTTTCTAACCTAAATAATGAATTTGGATGAGGAGTCTTCCATCTTTCCTACTTCCTGAAGGAGTTCAGAGCTATCACTCCTGCTTTCATGAACATTCATCTATCAGGCATCCTGCTTTAGTAGATAGAGAAAATTATATAACCTGCTACAGCAAACTTCTCTTCAATTGGGAGCAGTAATGATGCTCCTCAATCCTTACCTACAGTCTCCTTTTTAGTCCGCTCCTGGGCTTCCACCCGGCTCTGCCAATAGATCTCCATCTTCACTTGCAGTAACGCTTGCTGGGTTTTGGACTTCCCCAGAGCAGTGCCAATATATCTGAGTCCTTTTATGCAAAATCCCATTATTCCTGTTCAGATCTGAGCCGCGGCTGCTAATTTGGTTGGATTGTGGAACAATGAGTGGCGGTTTTGTGCTTTGGACCCATTGTTCACCAGGGATTGGGATGCTCATCTGCCAAAGGGCTTAGGGAGTCTTTACTTGTATTTTCAAACTGTGTGTTGCCTGACCTTACTGAATGAGGGAAGTGGAAGCAGTCATACTCAGAATACTCATTGCAAACATAAATCAAGCCTGCTGCAGCTGGCCGGAGCTGGGACTGCTCAGCTGATTGTATACATTGAATAAAGAAAGGGAGGGGGCGGGTAAACAGACAAGAATACTAGAAGCAGAAGGAGCTGAGTGGGTCTGGCCCAGCTCTGGAGTAGAGCGACTTGTGCCTCTCGCTGGCTGATTTGTAAATGACGTCCATGCATGTCACAGCGAGGCTGCTTCAGTTCCCTCCTGAGCAGTGCTTAATTTGTGCCAGGGCTGAGCCCCGGCACCTCTGGGCTTGGCAGTTCATAGCCCTGGCACCTCTGGGCTTGCTGCATCAGTTATGAATAAGGCTACGATTTAGTCACGGGTATTTTTAATAAAAGTCATGGATGGGTCACGTGCAATAAACAAAAAGTCATGACATGTCCATGACTTGTACTATAAATACCCCTGACTAAATCTTAGGTGCCCTGGGGGGGCCTCCAGGATGCTGCCGGTGCTCTGGCGGGGGCGCTGCAGCGGACGCTGCTGCCGGGGGGCGGGGGGGGGGGGGGGAGCGTGACCTCGTGAAAGACTCTTGGCCTTAGTTATGAATGTAAAAAAATTGCTTGAGCTTCGCCACCTCTTTCCTTACAAATAAGCACGAACCCTGAGTGCCAGCATCATGTGGACCTGTGGGGCGTGATACTAGGGGTGGCCTTCTAACCTCCCCTGCAGCAGCAGCCGGCAGAGCTGCCAAGTAGCCGACGTGAACCCTGAACCTGGCTTTTTGAGTTAAACCTCAGGTGGTCCTGACGAGTTCACCCTGACGCTTCCATTGAGCTTGTGCCTCTCGTTGCCTGAAGGATGCTGGGTGGGACGTGCATTGCCCATGGCAGCTGAGGTGCTATTTTAAAAGCTTGTTTGTAAACGTCTGGGTTTTATGGTCAGGCACAGAAG